CCGGGCTTCCACGATTGGCCAGCAAGCCTGCTCCATGCTTTCTCGTCACAGTGTGACGAGAAGCATGGGACGGCTTCCTTGTTAATCGGGAAGACGGGTGGCGAGTCGTTACACGCCGCCTGGCTTCCTGAATGGGACTTCCGGTACTTGGTATCGCCGAGTAGCAAAAAAAAAATATCGGTACTCGGTACCAAAATACCGGTGTGGGTGCATTGGGGTCCGCCGGCCTTTGGGTAGGTGGACCTGTGCTTGCCCCTGTCAGGAGCCTTGCGCCCTGGGGGGGGTTCAGGAATTTCGAGGCACTTCCTCTTGGGAGGAGGACCACAGCACCCACGTGCACTTCTTTTTGTGTCTTGTTGTGATTTCACGATTCACTTTATTGTTTACAGGGGAAGTCGCTTTCGATTCACGCACCGCGGACTGCAAAAACAAAAAGGGTGCGGCGGTCAGGGATTTGTCAATGAAGGATGCTTGTCCCAATACTGAGACTGGTGACCCACTTAGATATTATAGAGGAAGGTCTAGTCTTTTTTTAGAACAATATCTTAAATATTAGGGATGCACCGATACTAGTATCGGCGCCGATATCGAGTATTTGGGCGAGTACTTGTACTCGCCCAAATGCTCCGATACCTAGCACGAGTATTTCCTGTATCAGGAAGCCGGGCAGCGCATCATTACACGCTGCCCGGTTTCCTGATTGGCCGGGAAGCCGGCGTCATGCTCCCTCGTCATCTCATGAATCATAATATTAAGAAAGTGACCTTAAAGCATTAGTTTGTATTGCTTTAGAAAAAATGTGACCTGTCCCTTTAAGAAAAAGTATCGGTAATTGGTATCTGCGAGTACTTGATCAAAAGTATCGGTACTCGCTCTTAAAAAAGTGGTATCAGTGCATCCCTATTAAATATCATTGATCAAGTTTACCAAAGGTCAGCTGGTGCCAACTCATAGAATTAGGGAATGGCTGTTAGCAAGGCTCACTGCTGATTTTAGGCCCCTTTCTATAAAAGGGACATCAATTTCAGAGGGGCACACAGAGGGGGGGTTTCTGGCTAAAAATGGGAACAGCGGGCATTTTGAGTTGCCGGAATGACACCATTGAGACACAGCCAGAATGCTTATGCTTGGGTAGAAGTACTTGTTCCCTTTTCTCATGAAACAGGAACAAAATCAGGTCTGGCAACAAAATTACAGTAAACGCAAGTAAACCCAAATCACGCAAACCTCAAATAAACACCTTGATGTAGACTCGCATGCCATTTTCATTTGATCTCATTAATATGCTCCCTGGTGATCCTGCCATGAAGGTCTTTGTTTTGGCGCTTCCTATATAAGAAAGTGCCAAAAGAAAATAGAGCGAGTCCACAAAGCACAACCCAGACTTATTTCCACTTTCAGCTGCTACAGTCAGTGCCCTTCAGGGCCCCACGTTGGGCGCCAAAATGCAGCGCTATAGGTAAGAAGAACAACGTAATCTGAAAGAATGCTGATCTTCAGGTTACCAGCAGCTACATGATGAATGCTGTAAGTTAAATTAGTAACAGTAAAGTACCAGAAACATTCCCTCTCTGGCATAGTTCCTTTCTAAGGATGATCAGAAATGGGAGCCAGTCACATTAGCAGATTCTTATGGGAACGAGGATGTGGTGTGAATCAGAATATCCCAAAAATACACTGGATCTCAAATATCAGACTTGGCCAGGGGTAGGAAACCTTGACACCCCGGCTGTGGATACACTACAAGTCCCATGAAGCATTGCAAGACCTGACCACCTGGAGTGCCGAGGTTGCCTAACCCTGGAGTAGGCCACAGTCTCTTCTAGATGTCCCTCTGAAGTCTCTTTCCGTTCCCTTTAAAATAACAGACCGTGCTGCCTGGACTCTACAGAAGTAAGCTCCTTGGCAATTGAGGTTCTAGCGGTATCTCGGTCTTTAACTTCCAAGGCAGACATAGAAGGTTCCGGTGTATGACGCAGTCAGTCACTCAGCACATTTCCATATACGAGGATTGTTGAAAATTATCTCCTCAAAGCCTTATGCTCTTTCCTTCAGCAGCCAACATCTTCAGGAGGTTCCTCCTGGGAGGAGAGAGCCCCCACTTTCTTCCACGTGCCCAGCCTATGGCCTAAGAAAGACTAACTTCTGAGCATCCTCACAAGGAAAAAACCCCCAGGAGGGAAGAGACGGGACAGGAAGTGGCCCCGTAATTTTATATTTTTCCCAGCATGCCTCAGCTGGTTCCTCAGGTTCTACTGAAAGGCCATGACATCAAACATCCGTAACACAGAATCACAGCTCTCTAGCACACCCTGCTGGGGAAAGCTTGAACAACATGCGGCAGAGGAGATGCACTCTATGCTTAGAGAAACAGTCCAGTTGAGGTGCAGGGAATACTACATCCCTACAGCTGCATCTAATGCACCTAATGCACCTAATGCACCTAATGCACCTAATGCACCTAATGCATCTAATACACCTAATACACCTAATACATCTAATGCACCTAATGCACCTAATACACCTAATACACCTAATACACCTAATACACCTAATACACCTAATGCACCTAATACACCTAATACACCTAATACACCTAATGCACCTAATGCACCTAATACACCTAATGCACCTAATACACCTAATGCACCTAATACACCTAATGCACCTAATGCACCTAATGCACCTAATGCACCTAATGCACCTAATACACCTAATACACCTAATACACCTAATACACCTAATACACCTAATGCACCTAATACACCTAATACACCTAATACACCTAATGCACCTAATGCACCTAATACACCTAATGCACCTAATACACCTAATGCACCTAATGCACCTAATGCACCTAATACATGACTGGGGGGGGGGAGCATTAGAGTGTGAGCTCCTCTGTACAGAAACAGATGTGACTGTGGGGGGAGGGGACATTAGAGTAGCAGCTCCTCTGTACAGAAACAGATGTGACTGTGGGGGGAGGGGACATTAGAGTAGCAGCTCCTCTGTACAGAAACAGATGTGACTGTGGGGGGAGGGGACATTAGAGTAGCAGCTCCTCTGTACAGAAACAGATGTGACTGTGGGGGGAGGGGACATTAGAGTAGCAGCTCCTCTGTACAGAAACAGATGTGACTGTGGGGGGAGGGGACATTAGAGTAGCAGCTCCTCTGTACAGAAACAGATGTGACTGTGGGGGGAGGGGACATTAGAGTAGCAGCTCCTCTGTACAGAAACAGATGTGACTGTGGGGGGAGGGGACATTAGAGTAGCAGCTCCTCTGTACAGAAACAGATGTGACTGTGGGGGGAGGGGACATTAGAGTAGCAGCTCCTCTGTACAGAAACAGATGTGACTGTGGGGGGAGGGGACATTAGAGTAGCAGCTCCTCTGTACAGAAACAGATGTGACTGTGGGGGGAGGGGACATTAGAGTAGCAGCTCCTCTGTACAGAAACAGATGTGACTGTGGGGGGAGGGGACATTAGAGTAGCAGCTCCTCTGTACAGAAACAGATGTGACTGTGGGGGGAGGGGACATTAGAGTAGCAGCTCCTCTGTACAGAAACAGATGTGACTGTGGGGGGAGGGGACATTAGAGTAGCAGCTCCTCTGTACAGAAACAGATGTGACTGTGGGGGGAGGGGACATTAGAGTAGCAGCTCCTCTGTACAGAAACAGATGTGACTGTGGGGGGAGGGGACATTAGAGTAGCAGCTCCTCTGTACAGAAACAGATGTGACTGTGGGGGGAGGGGACATTAGAGTAGCAGCTCCTCTGTACAGAAACAGATGTGACTGTGGGGGGAGGGGACATTAGAGTAGCAGCTCCTCTGTACAGAAACAGATGTGACTGTGGGGGGAGGGGACATTAGAGTAGCAGCTCCTCTGTACAGAAACAGATGTGACTGTGGGGGGAGGGGACATTAGAGTAGCAGCTCCTCTGTACAGAAACAGATGTGACTGTGGGGGGAGGGGACATTAGAGTAGCAGCTCCTCTGTACAGAAACAGATGTGACTGTGGGGGGAGGGGACATTAGAGTAGCAGCTCCTCTGTACAGAAACAGATGTGACTGTGGGGGGAGGGGACATTAGAGTAGCAGCTCCTCTGTACAGAAACAGATGTGACTGTGGGGGGAGGGGACATTAGAGTAGCAGCTCCTCTGTACAGCTATATGAATGTATACTGTGTGTGGCCATCACAGCATCTCTCTGTCTATATGTAAGTGAACGGTCTACTCACCCGATGTCAGACGTGGATCTCTATGTGGAGTCTCAGCCTGTGTTCAGCCTCCTTATACTGGGATGTGACTCCTCCCAGTTCCTGTATTCAGACTCTCGAACTTCCACTTTCGGTTGCTCTTTCTGAGGTATTTCTGTGTTTTTTATCGTCTTTTTCCTTCCAATGTCTTCTAATGAGTTCTGCAGAGAGAGCGTTCCGGGTCAGATTGTGGGATGTGAGGAGGAGAATCCGTCATACGACCAGATATCCGGCTCAGTAAGTGGAATCAGGTCTCCGTGGAAGTGATAAACTCCGTGATTGCGTCATACTGGGAGCTCAGGGGTCACCATGGTGGGAAATCCCGACTCGCTGACATTCCCATCACCAGCAGCCGACCCGGCCGGCCGATATTCCATCTCACATTCTATTTGTAGCTCTTGCTATATTTTTCAGCTAAATTCATATTAAATTGTGACTTCGGCTCCGTCCTGATACATTATAATCATTGCTCTTTAGATAACGGTGACTGGAGGGGGCAAGAGGGGGGGAGGGGGTGGATTTTCCTTCTAGGGACTTTAACCCTTACACTGCCAGATCTGTTTTGCTTTTCTATTTGCACATTTTGCACATTTTATGTCTATGAATCGCTTATAGCCCCCGAAGTCTGAAATATTCTGTAATCGGAGATCCCAAATAATAAAACGGCGGCAGTTGCATTATTAGCACAACCCAAACTTTTAATAAAACCCAATTTTCGGGTAAAACACAAAAGATGAGGTTGAGTAAATGGATACCAAACACGCCAAGTCCGCACCTGTGAAAAACTTCGGTACCCAAAATTGTCCATAGGCGACGCTTTAAAAGCCTTTACAGGTCCTCGATTTAGAGTGATCAGTGAATGATGTCCCTGGAAATATTGGTGTCACTCCGGCATGCGCGGCGATATCTAACGTGTGTGGCGTAATCATCGTTTTCACACGTAGGCGCACCTGATGCATGTATTTACATTGGTAGGTGCGTGTAGGTGGGGGGCAGGGGGCTTCGAACAATAGTTTGGGGAGTTTTTTTAAATTAATTTAATTTTTGTTTACACTTTATTGCTATCATATAGGGGGGCTGACAGTCCCCTATGTGATAGCATATTGCTGGTGACACGTCCTCTTTAAGGAGACATCAGGGGGGGTGTAGTAGACCCCTGATGTCACCTATGGATCCCAGTGAAGCTGATCAAGTGCAGATTGTGCTTCTTCCCCGGCCACAGCAGCCGGACAATGGCAGCTCAGAACCTGGAAGTGACGAAATGTTTGCTGTTTCCGGGTTCACTCACCAGAGGGAAGACCGGTGAACAGATGTCCGCTTTATCCACCAACACCCACCATGGTGGTCCCAGTAGGGTTGCCACCTTTTCTAACAGCAAAACCTGAACATTCTAGCGACGTACAGAATTTTGGGGGGGAGAATGAGTCGTGGCCAGTAGCCCCTATCTTAATTTTGGTAGCCCCTGTCTGCCTGACATCTTTTCATGGCAGCTGAAACCCGGACACAGCATTAAAAACCTGGACTGCCCGGGTGAATCCCGGACAGGCGGCGACCCTATACATGCAGGAGGGACAGGCGAGCCCCGGGATACATGGTGGAGGTAGTTGGGGGGAGGGGGGGCACCTTACAGAGTGTGTGGAAAACGCTTCCATCAGAAAGCCGACAGCCGGCTGAACAACGGTAAGAAAACATTCCCGGCTGCTCTACAACCAAGAGTCTGATTACCGGTCCCTGCCGCCGTGTACATAGTACTTACATCCATGGCAGTTAAAGGGGTCCATTGTTTACAAGAAGAACAATAAAATAACAATATGATACAAAATGAAATGAGCAAATAATTAAACTGATCCCAACAAAATTTCAGAACATAAATATATGAACGTCACTTTAACTTCTATCACATGACACATAAACTGTAACAAAATAGAATCTCTGTACATCAGACAGGATGTGA